TTTAGTCAATGTAAATTGGTTTGTTCATGCAAAGCTGATTGTCTTATTTTGCTAATTCAAAAATTGTGTCACAGCGACTGGAAACACAATTACTGTCATTGAGGCAAATTCTTTTTTTCTGTTGCCTGGATGAAAAAAAAAATGTGTAAAAACTTATCTCATTATCGAGTTTATGTTTGCTTATGAATGACAAATGTTAATAGACACCTTAGTCTAATAAGTAGACAACATTGTCTATGATTGTTAAACAATGTACAAGACTAAGATACCCAGGAGATAGACATGAGTGTGTGAACATACTCTAGGCCTCAAAACTAGACACACTAACCTCAAGAATGGTGACAACCATTTACATCACAGTACAACAAATAACTAACAATAATGATAAAACAACAACAACAAAATTTAAATGAAGTCCGCAAACAGCAAAACAATAATCCTATAACAGTAACTGCATAATTTATTCATGCTGCAATGCATTTTCAACAATATGAAATTCTTTGTTCAGTCAACTGTGTTTGACTAGTTGGGGCAACATTTGGGATAATTTTGATGGTCTGACAAGGGTTTTTATGTAGTTTCAAGAAAATAGCATTTTTTAGTATTGGAGACTCAAAAGGTCTCGTAAACTGGAAAATGTGCAACTGTATTTTCTACAGTGTAGTTTATTGTCACAAAATACATATCAGACCGCCTTACAACATTCTTACAACAACTAACAACAACAAAATGAGATATTACAGTTATTTTTGTTTTGCAGTCTATAATTTCCTGTATGCACATGCATTGGTATCAAGAACATCCTAAATACACTGAACAATGTCTGATATTAAACTTTTTGACACTGGGCTTCATGTCTGTTACCCTGGTGGAAACTTATACTGTACTTCTAAAAGCTGACAAAATAAACTTAGCATATATTAATATTTATGACCTAATTTCTTGACTCAGGGGTGTACACAATATATTATTTTCTCCAATAAGATGTTTACTAGAATGGGAATATAAATAATCATAAATAATTTTATAATTATTATAAATATATTATACATTTAACATATACATATAAATTTAATACACACACACACACACACACACATATATATATATATATATAGTATACTGTACATAGTATGTAACCCACAGATGTTTATAATAAACCTGTTATCATTTCCATTCATCTTAATGACTGCTGCTTTGATGCCCCAGATGTGTGACCTCACAAGATAACTAGAAGCCACTTGCTAAATTAAACATGCAATATAATGAGGGCATGTAACACATAATGTAGCTATTACTGTTTAATGATTTGCATAATGCATATGGTTTTACATCTTATTTGTAAAAGACAGTAACCAGAAAATAGCTGTATGCAATACGCTAGCATTCTTTTCTGAACAAGAGAGTCTATGTAATGCCTAATGCCTAAAGAGTTGATCATTAACATTCTCAGGTCCACCACATAAGTAGAAATCCTCCCATAAAACAATGCAGAACATCTTATTTCATAGAGTATTTGCATTTGCATTGTTTAATTAATTGGAAGTGGTCACTTTGTGATTTTTTGGAATTGCAATTTTCATAACGATAAAACATTTTCTGCACAACATTAAGAAACACAATGTATACGTTTTCCAGTTCTCCAAACATCTGGTTTTGAAGGCCATCTTTTCCACCACTGAGTGTCTCTTTAACGCACAGCTATTGTATTATATCGATGTTATTGGGAACAGCTGTACGGTTCACATTTTCTTCTGCCAAAATCTATGGCACCTGCTCCTCTTTAGCAGGTGGACTCATACTGCAGTACTGACCCTTGGGATGAGTCGTCTCACACACACACACACACTCAGGTTTACATTTGTGAAAAGTGGGGACATCCCATAGGCGTAATGGTTTTTCTACTGTTACCAACCCTACCCCTAAACCTACCCCTTACAGGAAACTTTGTGCTATTTCAGATTTTCAATACACTCCATTCTGTGTGGTTTATAAGCGTTTTGAAAAGTGGGGACTTGGGGTATTGTCCTGAAAAGTCACCTTCTCCTTGTAATACCTATGTCATACCTTTGTCATTATACAAATTTATGTCCTCATTTGTCACAAAAACGCGTAAACACACACACACACACACACACACACACACACACACACACTCTTCACAACAAAGTTAATTCACTAATGGTGTGTATACACATATGTGTGTGTGTAAATCCTGTGTGAGCACACATAATTCATCAATAAGTTGTCACAAGGTGTGTTTTTGTGTTTCAACCTCTTTTAGAAGGTCTGAAAGATCCTCAATGGACCCAAGAATGATTCCATCCCACTTTTTATGTGTACACTATGTTGTCTGATTAGAAATGATTTGCTTTATTTAGTCTTAATTATGAAAATAAATGTTACTGTGTTTTAAATTACATATGACATTATAGTACAGTAGCTATAAACATGGAAAAATTAAGGATTTCCTTTTCTTTGTTTTCAGTTAGCTTTCAGTTAGCAAGCTAACAGCCTAGCATACTAGCTTAGCATAGTGCTAATAGCTCTTTTGATTAGCTAAAACAAGATATTCCATGATAATTTGCTAATGTTTTTGGTTTAGCATTAAGGGAGGAGGATATAATCTTGCATAAAACTGGATCCATCTACGGCAGAATAAGGATGGAAACAAATGAATGCGCTTTACTGTAATAATGATTGATAACTGCTGAGAGGAAACAAGTGTTCTTTCCTGTATGTGACAAAACCAAAGTGAAGGCAAAATTGAGTTGCATATTTTCTGCAGTCCTGTTTAATCGAGTGCTGAAAATCTGTGTAAGGGTTTGTTGAGTGTCCTGAAAGAGTGAAATTAAAAACCATTGCTGTGACTCACTGTAACAGACACCCATCATTTGCATGTCTATTTCACATCTTGTGCAAAATACAGTGGGGTCTAAAAATCCGCAACCACATGGAAATTCTGTGATTCATCATCTAATTTAAACCTGGAAATAACCAGAATTTTAAACAAAGGCACATTATGAGGTAAAATGAAAATAGATATTTAAAGGGGTCATATGATGCTTTTTTAAAGATCATTATTTGGTGTATTTGGTGTAACAGAATATGTTGACATGCTTTAATGTT